GAGGCTGCCCAGGGAAGTGGTTGAGTCCCCATCCCTGGAAGCATTTAAAAGATGTGTAGATGAGGCGCTTAGGGACGTGGTTTAGTGGACATGGTGGTGTTGGGTTGACGGTTGGACTTGATGATCTTAAAGGTCTTTTCCAACCTTAATGATTCTATGATTCAACGTCACCAGGATGAAGACTTACATTTCACTACTCTGTGTCATTCCTGCATTCTCTCCATTCTTAACATGTGAAAGTGATTGTTTTCTTTTAGGTAGCAAGTGACTGCCAACCTCAGAGTCTTCTAATCAGACCATAAGAAGTACAGATAATCAGTGTAACAAGTGTAGTTGGTGGATACCTAGCAACAATACACACCTCCAGGGACTGCACAACCCTGCAGTGAAAAGCAAGGTAGCTGCAAATCACACAGGTGAGGTCTTAATTGGACACTTCTTTTTTCTAAACAGGAAGCCTAATAGTAATCAAGCATTGTCCAAAATAATATGCCCGCACAGTGCACATGTTCACTTGCCAATGAATGAGATATCAGCAAGAGCAACAATTTTCAAACATGTAACAATTGCACCAATTCACCCTAAGGAATAAGTTTCAAATCATTTCACCAATGCAAATATGGACAATTCCATTTACAAATGGCTTTATTTTCCCCTAGATTAGCCAAGCAAACTGGAAACATATTTAAGATAAGAAGTAAGCTGTTCTAATCGAAATAATATATTCATAAGAGATTTTGTACACATTTAAGTATTTTCAAGCCTGTAGCTTCATGTGAAATCAAAGGCCTGTTGGCACATGAGGTCTGAGCTTCCTAACAATGAAGGCAACGCCAGATGAAGTGATACTTCTAATCATTTTTCTGGCAGGTCAACGTGTGCTAATGGGATGTGCACACAATCCATTTATTCCCACTGCAATCAATTTTAAGGAAAAAGCATAACCAAACTTCAGAAGTCGAAACAGGAACCACAGGAGCAAAAGCATTCAAGCAGCACAATGTTGCTTATGGATACTGCCTTTTTGAGATGTTTCATACCTCCAGAGCCTTTGTAGAGGCAGGTGGTCTCTGCAGCTCCAGAGCAAACATTCCTATTCGGAAGGCCAGGTTGTGGTACTCCAGCCGCTCACTCAACACAGTCAGCAGGAAAGCAGCTTTAGACAAGGTGTTGGTTGCCATCCAAGTCTGCTTGCTGGTTGATACCTTGTTCTTTTTGCCCTGTTTGAGGAGGAATTTGTCACAGGACACTTTCCTAAACATCCTAAATGATTCTATGCTTGTCTTCCTACCCTTTGCAATAATCAGTAGACAGGAGAAAGAATAAAACACGCTTAAATTTTATTCCCTTTGCTGAGGAATCACAAATCCCAGTGGTTACTGATGAACATCATTCCTTCCCCTATCTCACCCCAGCACAATACAGTGGAAGAGCTGGCCTGTTGATAAGACATATGTCCACCATTGGACTAATGCTGTGCAGGCAGATGTTGCATGCCTGTCCCTTCCAAGGGAACACTTCCATACAACAAACACCGCTTAGTGCCACTACAAGTGATTTTCCAGAAGTTTATGCTTATTTCTTTCCTCTCCAACCCTCTATTCTGAAACTGCAAAACTTCTAACATTTCCAGTGGTGCACATTATGAAGTAGGAGACTAAGGTTTTGGAGAGAACCACAAGAAACAGGCAGGTCATCTGCACAGAACTTCACAGAAATCAAGACTTCTTATGGCTGCTGTATAATCTCATAGCACACAGTAGCAGGTATCTTAAACAAAACATCCTTTGAAGCTGATGTTAAACAGGGTGTTTTGTTCAATGAGATTTAAAATAGATTCCTAAAGGAGCTGCAGCTTTTAGCAGACAAACCAAGCTTCTCTCTGAAGTATAAGGGAAAGTGAAGAAGCTTTTAACTAAACTTGAGTTTCTGAAGACTCCAAATCCTGCTGAATGGCCTCTTATTTTCTTTCTCCCTTTTATTCACCCACACACGCACAGTGATTAGGCACATTAATGACATCCAGAGAAGTTCAACCCAGAGGAAGCATCAGTGAAGGGCCCTGAATCACAGCAAATGAGAAATGCCTGGGAATGCTGTTGTATCCATCCCATATATTCCTTCTAACTTACCCTCTACCCCCAAAACTAGACAAGCTCTCTCTCTACCTTAGTTGGTGGCTGCTCCACTTTGAGATCTGGAGGGTTGGCCAGTAGGTCCCTGGCGAGCTCTACGGTTAAGCGGCATGCTTCATTACTGTATCCATGTGCATACAGGGCCTCTGCACAGGCAAACAGGATCTGCAAGAAAGAACAGATGGGTCATATTCAAACCACACTGCACCAGGCTGGAGCTAGTCTGCTCAAACCACTTGTCTCAAAGACTCTGCAAACACAATTCACAATTAACTTCTGCAGCAGGTGTTCTCAGAGTCCTCCTTGCCTGGACCTCCACCGCCATCCCTTTAAGCACTCCACTAAAAAGCCTCTTCTTCTATGATTAAGTCCCATCCTACTTCCAAGTGCTACAAAAGATTAGAGAATAACTCAAAAAAAATTAAAACCCAAACTGACTGACTATAACTATTTCCATGCATCTCCATTTCAGCTGCTTGCTCATATAGGTGCAAGCTCTAAACATATTTTGAGGGTATTACATGGATGTGACACAGTCTATTTAGATTGCCTCTGGCTTTCCAGAGAATTTCTGCTTACATGGTTGGATTTAAATTTTTTCCTGCTGGGCATGTCTTGGTCTTACTTATTTTTAATCTCAGCTCAATTTCGCCATTTCCAAGAGTGAGACTACGAAAAAAGCACACACTGGTTTGCCTACATTTGTAAATCCGGGAGTGTGAGATGGGACCAGCTAAAACTGGGACACACTTGAAGTTAGCACAGAAATAGGGAGTCAAGTTTGCGGGAAACAGACACGTGTGATACCACTGCATTAAGACTGCAGATACCTTATGATACAATGGGTTATGACGAAATTATAGTTAAGCACTTGATTTAACAACATACTAGGTTAAGTATGACAGCTAGGAGGGTGGCAAGACCGTGATGTATACAATATGTAAAACTGCAAAACAGCGTTTTGAACTAGATTCAGCTCACCTCCATCCGGTTCTCCTGCTCCAGAGGCTTTATACCAGCAAATATATCCTGCTCCTCTTCATTTCCCCCTTCAGCTTTGTCATCATCTTCCTTGGCTACCTCTTGTGGATTCAGATAGTATACCTGGTAATCGTCTTCCTCTTCTCCATCATCCCCTCCCCCTGCTGCACCATTCTCTCCCACTTCTTCTGGCTTCAGGCTCACACCACCACTGTTCTCATCTGCAGAAGGCAGGTCGTCATCACCACTACCCATTTCCCCCATAGGATCCTTGGGCGATTTCTTGGCCATGGAGCTGCTCCTGACACTAGGCTCAGGTCCCTCAGAGAAGTACACCCCACCATCCTCCTCAAAGGTGTCCCTGTAGCTCCTGCTCAGTGGGCTTTCTGTAAAACTAAACGTGTTGCTGGCTTCTGCCCCCAGAGCCAAGCTGCTGTCATCCAGGCTCATCTCTGCCAAGTCTGGCTCCAGAGAGCTGTCTTCACTGCTCATGCGGCGTTTCCCACTATGTTTACTGGTCAAGCCTTTGCTCACTGGCAACTTTGCTTTGCCCACCGCAGTCTTATACACAGCTTTATCACCTTCTGCTGAAAGTCGTCTCAGAACCCTCTGCGGCGTTTCAGAGACAACTTTCCGCTTTCCAGTAAGTTCCTTCGGACGAACTGCTGGCTCCTGGGGAGAGGGACGCAGCCTGTCCCCAGGCTGCAGACATGTTCCCCCGGGCTCCTGTCCATGGATTCTACCAGCCTCACAGGCAGTTTCTGCACACTGCAACCGGCAGCTCCTCTGCTGGATGGCCTTTACCCAACAGAATGAGTTCTTCTTGTCAGTGCTGCTATATGTGATCCCAGGAATGGGATAAGCTTCCTCCCAGTTGAAGTAGCAGGCTTCCACAGCTGGCTTGAAACCCTGGAAGAGCTTCTCCAGCGATTTCTTGTGCTGACCCCTCTTAACATTATCTATGACTTTCAGCTGCCACTGTCTGAGCTGTAAGCAAAGGTCCCTGCGCCTAAGAGAAGAAGTAAGAGGACAGGTTAGAAAGCAGACACAAAATGCACCTGTGACAAACTACCTCTTAACCCACAGAACACCTACTCCTTTTGGTCAGAAAAATCTTCTGCTGAATTAAGTATAGACAGCATTAGTAAGAAGACAGGCTGAAAAAAAGTAAACAGGTATATTAACAACCAAGTCCTAGACAGGCCCATGATAGAGAAACAAAATGTGAACAGTACCAACATGAAAGCACGATACAAACTGGAAAGTTTAAAATGAAATACTGTCTGCCCTGTTTGCTTAACTGCCCCAGATAAGTTATTAGCAATGTGAGCCTCAGCAGTCTGAGACCAGAGACTGCCATGGGGAACTGCTCTTGGAATCATTCATAAAACAGTTTGCAGCAGCTGTGAAAAGGCCCTGTGAACAACTCCAGTCAAGACGTTCACAAGTACAATCTAAACAGCCTACCCAGGGAAGCACAATGCCAGACAGGACCACCTAATCTACCTCCCAGGAACTTATCTCTTTACCCTGATATGCTTATCTAGAGCCCAACAATTTAATTTAGGATTTAGCAGGCTGTCCTCGGGAGAATAAACTGTTGCAAGCCATAGGCACAGAACAAGCAAGACAAAAATAATTTATGTTCAAATAACTCTGAGGAAGAAGCAAGCTGGTAAGGTTATATAGACTTAAATTACACAGCAGTTAGTCCCATGTCCCATATTACCATGGGAAGAACAAAGTATTTCTGCATTTCCCAGCTCCAAATCTCACGTAGGGCCTAAGCATATGAGCAACATAGTCTAAGTGGATTACACATTTGGGTGATCTAATTCAAGAATAGGAAAAGACATTTCTAGAAATTGCACCAAGTGTCTCAATCAACTGCCATCTTGTTTCTGCCACAGATTTCAGAGATCTGAGGTACAAGCCCACCACTTCAGTCCTCTCAGATTTCCTATCAAAAGCAAAAGAATAAAAAATCAAATCAAAACAGGGTGACCCAATTTAGGTGCAAAGGGTATTAGGACAGAAGGGTCTAACCAAAATGGACTGCTTCTATTTGTCCATTAAAGAAATTAATTAACGAGGGAGCAGACTGGTAGGGCTTAATCAAGGAGAGGATTTTAAGAAGGAAAAAGAAGGGAGAACTACTCAGGAAAGGTAACATAAGGATGAGAGCTGGCAATGAATTAGGAATGAGGTAGCAAGTCTCCTTATGATTCACTGGAAAGAATAGCAAGGATGGGTAGAAGAGGGTTCTTCTTGGTGACTATTCAAGCGCCAAGAGAATAGGTAATCAAGCAGGAGCATTTCAATTATGCATGAGCTCAAGTAGGAGATCTGAGCAAATTTGAACTGCGCCAAATCACTCAAATGTGAACACATAGCACAACTTCATACTTTATTAAAAGCCAAAACCTTTATGGTTTTTCTAAGTGATCTGATTGATGTTTGTGTTTGTTTTAAGCCTCATTCCCTGTTTCCTACAGTTTTTGATTTGTCTTCATCTCCTATATTTAGCTACTTCATATTGTAAACTGTACAAGACAGAAACTGCATCCATTTTAGTGTCCCTGATGTACCTGACATAGATAGGGCATTTCATTAATGTTACACAACAATTCACAGAAAGCAAATCCTGTTAATGTTTAACTGTATGAAAAATACCATCCTGTTTTCATTTGTTCTGAAAAACTTTTTCTGAGCACTTATAGCACATTAAAGTAATTCAGTACATTTTACACAACACACTTTGTAGACTAGATGTACAAAACAAGTTATTGCAATGTCAACCACAGTATCTCAACACGAGTCCTCAGTACCTCCACTGCTATTCAACTAGTGCTAAATAAAGATGGCAGTGATTTACGAAGGCACAATATGGTTTAGAAACCTGCAGAAGCCTCACAATTTTTCCTCAGACAATTGAAAACACTGACTGAAAATCATACACCAGTGACACTGTTTACCAATACACTGCAGAGAATAAACTCCCTAAGAGCACAGAAAGCAAGAAATGGTTCAGCTTGAAATAGACAACAGTCAATGATCGGGCTAAACAGAAATTCATTAAACTGCTGAATAGTTAAATTTAGAAAGCATTAAAATTTATTGGTAGCTGGTGTTATCATTCAATGAAATGTTCTCCACTAGGACACTGAAATGCAGAATTACACTCATATGTAAAAGAGAGCTCTCAGAAAACAAATTATTCACACTACATGATGTTGCTAAAAGTGAGCAGCAATAGCAATTAAAATCTAAAGTAATTATAGTGCTCTTGAACCTTACATAGCACATAGTCCAGAAGGACTAATGGTTGAATAGGTAACGAGGTAATGATACAAACACAAGACATCTACAGGAAGAAACTCTTGAGTGTGCTTGAATATCACAGAAATAAATGAGGGACTGGATCTGATTCTGGTGCTCACCTCTGTGGACTAATAGTTGGATCAAGGACAGCCAGCCTCCAAAGAACCACCATCTCATCACACATACTTGCACAGGCATGAGCAGCTACTTCTGACTGGCCATTGCTGCGTCCTGTGTGCCCGCTAGCACTGCTGTGTGATGCAGACGTTCGCACACTGTACCACCACCCGGTTATCTGCAGAAGAAAATGTTCAGTGGAGCTGTGTTGTGGCCAACGTCTCGTCTCCTGCTCTCACTTATCCTCATAACCACAAGGAAATGGGATCTGTAGCTAGAACCATGTTTTCATTTGACTCCAAAATAACTATGAGCATTAAAGTAGTATTGGTTTGTGAGAACTAAGGGCCTCTCAAAATTTCTCTGATTAGAAGGCACATGCCCACAGAACAAAACACTCACAGGAGGTTCTCTTAGTAGAGGCCTTCACACCTGGAGGGATAAAGTGAACAAATGTGATAAATGAAGCATTTTCTTTCCCCTGCTCAAAGTTGAGGTATGTGATAGAGCAATAAGGAAACTTACACTGCAATTTATATTACAGAATGAGATCAGTGTCCTGAACTGTCAAAGGAAACCTTTTTCCTAACATTATTTAAAAAAATATAAAAAAATTTATTACTTAAACCCATCAAGAGATATCTTCTACAAAAATAACTAAAGAATCTGAGATTCTAGCGCCCAACATATATCTTTAGTTTTTATCAAAATGACAGCTCATATGTGATGTACTTTGTTTAGAAAAAAAACATTAAAATAAATCACCTTGACTGGGCAGAAATCAAATCAAATGTGCTGAACAAGAGTTCAGACTCCATATATTCATGTTAAAAGGACTGAGGTATTTTGGGGATATAGTGTTACCAGGACATCACCAAATCAGCACAAGAGCAAACTGTAACATCATTTTAGCATGGAGAAGCACATGCCCATAATGCATACAGACAGTTAAAAAAATTTATTCAGCTATGGATTGTACAGGCACATGGCACCAGTCACTGGCTCAGCCTGGGTCCCCAGAATTTTCTCCCCCAGAGCAAAGAGATTTTAATACCTGCTCATAGTTGAGACACTGGTCAGTCAGAATCTCCAGCAAAGGAGCTGCATTGCTATCCCGTCTCTTAAACATCTCCCGCACAATGGAAAGCAGGTTCCAGATTCCTTCAGGCTCTCTTCCTCGCAAGGGACGCAAGAGACAGGCCCACTCAGCAGCAGCTGGTGGCTCCGTGGAAGAGAGATACATTGAATTCACATCACTGTAGATAAAACAGAAGAGCAGGGATGAGAAAAAATTAAATCAAGCACAGCCATACAAAATCCTGAGTATATTATACATCCAGAAGTATATTTGCACCTTAAATGGGACAGACATGCATAACCTAAGACAGGATGCATAACGAGACTGAGAATACCACACAAGCAAGGTATTGTGCAAATACAGTGTGCTCTACTGAAATAACATTGGACAAGTTATGCGAAAATACAGTCTAGAAGAGTGACCACAAAACTAGCATCCTTCAGTCCACAGCATCACATAAGGGTACAGGCTACACAGTGAATGAGCTTACAGATTACATGAATATCACATTTTCCCTTCGATGGGAAACAGTTTACCTGAAAACAACAGGAGAGGGTCCACAGAATTTATGAAGGGTTTTCTTTATGTTGTCACTCAGAGTAGATTCATCTAAGTACCAGGTGCTTTGATCTGATGCAGAGGGTCCAGCAGTGGGATCTTGACAAAAGAGTAACACATATACAGTCTGCAGGCTTTGAAGGTATATTTCCTCTGTGTGCCCAACCACAGAGATTATAGGGAGCACACAGGCAGTATTACTCAGTTTATTTCACCCATTGCAGAACTCACTATTCAGAACTATCTCAACGTGTTATCGTAACATTACCTTAACCACTGATAACACTAAATTGGGAGACATGGCTGGCATGCTGAATGGTAGCACTACAACCAGTGGGACCAGGAGAAATTCAAGGACTGTGCCAACAGAAACCTCATGAAGTTCAGTGAGGAAAAAGGTAAACTTCTGTACCTGGGACAGAAAACCCCATGCATCAGTACAGACTGAAAACCAAATGGCTGAGTAGCTGATAGGGTTTGGTGATTATGGTGGATGCCAAGCTGAACACAAACCAATGGCAAACTTTCACTGAAAACACAAAACAAAAAAAACAAACCTGCAAACTGGGCTATATTAAGAAAAGCACAGCTAGCAGATTTAAGGAACTTATTTTATCCCCCTCTACCTGGCACTGGTAAAGTTACACCTGGAATATTGCATCCAGTTTTGGGTCCCCCAGACCAGGAAATGATACTGAGAAACCAGAGAGGATATAGTAGAGGGGTATCAAGATAGTTGGGGGCACGGAGCACATGACCTATGAGGTGAGATTGAGGAAGATGGGCTATTTTCATCTAAAAAGGAGAGGGTGAGGGGTGATCATTAACAGCCTACAACTACTTGGAATCACAAACACAATGCAGACAAACTCTTCTTGGTAGTAGTAGATGATAAAAAAGGGTATTCATATTGGACATTAGGAAAAAATTCTTGACCAAAAGGGTAATGCAGCACTAAAACAGGAATACTCTGTAATGTCTCTGGTAACCAAGACTTGGCTAAGCTAGCCCAAGCCACAGCTAACCCAATCTAGTGTTGCAAACAGTCCTGTTTCAAGCAGGAGGTTGGAGAGGTCCCCTCCAATCAACATTTCCAGGAATGAACACCAACTTAAAAAGAAAAATCTTTTGTTAGAAAGGTGCATTGCCTGATGCTCCCTTCCTCTGCATACACTCTGAGGCGTCCATCACACCAGCAAGTGCCTGCTGCTGTGCCATATACACATGCGAGTGCCTGTACTTACCCCTTTTCCTTGACCTCCACCTGCAATCCCAGCTACATGGTAACAGACCAGTTCAGAAACTCAATGCAATGGAAATATATCCACTTCCTATCTGTGACACAGATTACTGAAATAAGATATATCAAGGCTACCTGGGGCTCCACACACTGTGTTGATGGCAGTAGACTGAGAAGATAACAGCTCATCCAGCAAACGCTGAGCAGTTGGAAGAATCTGAAAACATGAAGCAAACTTTCAATATTGATTGAAGCACTCTCATAATTCCAGAAATATCAAATACACACAGTCATATTTTCAGAAAGGACTATAGAGGGTGCTAAAGATTATACAAGAGCAAACCAGCTGTTACACTTTCTCCTCTCCTTTTCTCAAAGCAAACTTATATCCAAGGCTTACTTCCTACATTCACACCCTAAGAAGTAAACAAAAGAATCACAGGTTACTAGTTCCCTTCTCATTTCTTGAGGAGTTGGAGCCCACAGAGAGTGATACTGCAGCTAATTTTGAGAGATAGTGACTGCAGTCAAGGTCACCATTTTCCTGTACTTTGAATGTTCTTTATTTCTTGTTCCTAAATCATTTCTCTAAAACCCAAGCTAATGGGAACAGAGGAACAAACCATAAATTACATCTATACATAACTTTTTGGGCAGACTTTAGCTTATTTACCATCCTGTTAGCAAAGAGACCATATATACATTAACTCAGACTCAGTAGTAAACTAATGCAATTTCAGCACTAAACTAATGCAATCATAGCTTCTGGACAGTTCAGAGCATAAGCAGAAAAGGTTCACACCTGACTGCAAAATCCTAAGTAGATATACCCTTAACGTGCTCTTTTTGAAAGAAAAATGCATAGTAGGATGTGTTTTTTCCCAAACTAAGTCTGGGCTGAAACCGCAGATCCATTTAGCCTTTAGCATGCATGCTTACAACAGGCTAGGCGTATAGTTAGGATTTAAATGACTTGCAACGGAACATCTGATATCCCTCCACCTCCCTCCGCACAACAGCTGAGGTTAAAGATCACACTTACTGTAAAGCAAGGCACATTCAGTACACCTGTATTTGCAAATAATACAGACCCATCTCAAACAGATGGAAGAAAAACAATGCTTCAGAAGGATATTTTGCATTTGAGTCACCTGAAGGAACAAACTCAGCATTAAGCTATTCTTGTACCTTTTTCCACTGCTATGTATTTTAAGTCACCACGAAGCAGAAAAGTCACAGGTCTAGGCAACATCACACCTTAAGGTTGAAGTATCAGGGACCTGCAGTGACTCTCCTTCAGGCATTTTTGCCAAGATATTAATATTTAATTGGAATAGGAGTACTGGCTTCATTAAGGGAAATAGCTCTTGGGAGAAGAACTGGGTAATAAGTTCCAGCTGCTCAGAATCACTGACATTTTCATAGATACGGAAAACACTTTCTACAGAGATTTTGAAAAACATCTCCTTATCTAGCTGCATTCCTACAGACCACCTTCCCTTTACAATTGAAAGTAATTCAGCATTATATTACTGTACCATAATGTAATTCACAAGCTGGAAATAAGGATAAAATAGAATCGTGTACAGCCTACTCTAATTCCACATCATGTAGTCAAAATACGGGGTCCCAAGGTATCAGAGTATCTATCTCCACTCAGAAATCTTGAAGACCGGGAATGAGACTGTTAGAAGAGTTTGGGGTGTGCCTCTCCTTTTTCACGGGAATTACACAACACAGGTTAAGATGCATCTGCCAATAAACCCCAAACTTTTCTGTTGGGCAGCATCCATCAGATTATCTGGCAAGATAGTAATAATTAAATTAAATAATCCAGATGTTCCTGGGCGCACAGCTGGTACACATGACCAAAGGAGAAATAATGCAACCCTGCAAAAAGGAGCAGACACAGAATATTTGAAAGCAAACAACTCGCATGCCATTCAGAAAACAACCACCACACCACTGCTAGCCTTTCAAAACCCTCCTTTATTAAGCACCAGACTATGCGACATAAAGCTCTGAGTCCTTAAGGAGAGAAGAAAAGCTTTGTCTGTTTCGTAATGCAGCAAGAAGCACACACTATTGATGCTGAACTCTCAGCAACAAAAAAGCAGTATTTTTCTATCACTTTCATATTATATGATTCCTCTATTTCCTCTCATAAGAAGATTAGTATTTCTGTAGGAAATTTAGAGGACGTTTTAGCAATAGAATATCTTAGTGTCCCAAGCACAGCACCATAATATGAATTTTAGGCACACGCTGACAGTAATCTAACTCCTACTTAAGACATTATGCACGCACTACTGAAACATGACAGATACCCATGTGGGTCAGTTTTTCTCAACCTCCTTTGGTTGAACCAGCATAAAAAAGTTGCCAAGCCCTTATATTTTTAAAGCAAACATTTCACAATCACTTAGGTGTTCTCGTGTATTTTGTGCAAGCATTTTAGGCAGATGATATAAATGACCTGACCTTGAACAACATAGATATTAAAGGAATAAGAGAGCAGATTTTGCCTTTGACTAACGAAATTTCATATCTATTACTTTCCATAACCCAAATGATTCTTATGAATCACCAAGAAGCTACGCTGGGGGAAGTCAAAAGGTCACCAACTGGGTGCATTAGGAAGGGCCCACCTAAGGCATACACAACACAGTCCCTGGGTAGTCTTCTCCACTTAACTAACCAATCACACAAAAAAGCAGCAACCTGATTTGTTCTGACCTAAGTTTTTCACCACCGTGGATTTATTTTATTGTGTTCGATGTTCCACAAGCTAAGCGCATATTCATGCTAATATGAATAGCCACCACTCTTCTTTCTCCTTTTAAGACACTTCTAATCTTTTACTTTGCAATAGACAATTGTCAAATAATAGAATGGCAAACCTGAAAAGGGCAAGAACTGAAAGCCTTCCCAGCAACCCACAATCAAATAGCATAACTGGCTATCTTGCAACAAAAAAACCCATATAAATTCACCCAGAATAAAGATAACTGAATTTAACAAAAAGTCAGTCCTATCGATTGTCCCCATTTACCTGTTGTGGAAGTTCACTGATCAGGTACTGAGCAAATTTTTGCAATTGGTCTCTTTGTAGCCGAGACAAGGATTCAGAAACAGGTGCTCGTAAGCACACCGCAGATGCCTGAAGAAAGAAAAGGAGATATAAACTGCCATTAACAGGTCAGACTTAATGAAGCTGTGTCCACTGAATGGATGAAGCATCATGAACAGTGGCTACGCTGATGCATATCATGCTTGGTCTTGATGGACAATTTTTTTTTCCTGTAATTATGTGCTGTGTTGGAGATAAGATGCAAATAAGCTGTCTAGGCTTTATAAAAACTGTTTTTAAGAGTTTCTTTTCAAGGAAACTGCTTCAACAGCTGTGCTTAAGATCTGTTGTTGCTAGCAATTGCACAAATACTGGCAGAGATTTCACAAACAAACCTCTAAAACAGGACATTATTCTTTAAGCTTCTGGCAAACCAGCCAGCTCTGTGGGGGGCTGTTTCACAGAATCCCAATCACCTCATTTATCTCATTAGAGGTTTTTTCTTCAATCTTAAAATCAGTCTCTTTCCATATCTTAGAACAACTTAGAGATAAAAAACCACACCACTACTTTCTTAACCTTTTTAACTCTACAGAATAAAAAATGCCCAAATGGCACCTACCTAAAATTTAACCTGGAAACAGGCAAGAGCAGTTTGATAATAAAGATGCTTCTTATATTTATTTGTCTACATAGAGCAATGTACCTTGGCTTGTAACTTGCTAGTGTCAGCAGTCAGTATATACAAACACTGAAAATGCTTTCACTATCATTTTTCAGGTAGAAGAAAGGCTTGGAGGGAAAAGAATTATTTTTATCTTACACAGGGTCCAAACTTTCTGAGTGTAAATAATATAAATGAAAATTTGTTTCCTATCCTCACTCTCCATACCCACCTTTTAAAACTGGAACTAATAATTCAAAGCAGAACCCATTTTTTTGCCAACTCTCCAGTCCTAAACAGAAAGTATACCAATATTCCAATGATTTCACAAGAGTATCAATTTAAGCCTATTACAATTGTCCATTGTGAAATATTAACAAGCTTCAGCAGGTTATTAGCACTTATTTAAGAATCTGGAGTTGATCATAAGCACGTTAGCTATAAAATGTTCTGTGACAGCAGAAAATCTTCTGTTCCTTTCAATCATCCAAGCTTAATCCTTCCTTAAGACGTATTTCTCAACTTCCCAAAGAAGGAGGAAATTAATCTGTATGCAAGACTGAACCCTCAACTTGTGTATTTTATGTTGATTCTACACATTTTCACCTGGAGTTTGTTGGGATAAGAAACACCTACTTTTCACTCTATACAAGGCCACACAGAATACAAGCAGCCAAATAAAAACATAAACTTAACTGACTGTTTGAAATCTACAAGTCAAAATGACACTTATCTGCCTCAGTATGTGACAAAATGAACTGGTGAACATAAAGGCCAACAGCGATCAAAATTACTTTCCTTCTGCACTCTGAATGATCAAACAACTGAAAGAAAGAGCTTTCAAATCCCATATTTACAAAGACTTTTAATAAAAGACTAACTACTGGTGACCTTTCACTCCCTGCAGAACTGAAGAAAGAATGAGTAATTCTAGCATTTAAATGAGAAACAGGAAGGGGCCAAAAAGGACTCTGTATCTACCCTTAGCAATTCACACATTATCAAAGGACATTCTGCAGTTAAGAGCCTCAGACAATTCACTCTGCAGACTGCAACTGTGAGCACACATTTGCACAATCTGTAACCAAAAGGAGCGCCAAGAACAATTTCCCTAAAGAGAGTGCATGTTGCATAAAACTGTAATGAGGAGAGACTCAGAGAAGATGCCTAGGGGAGAGCAGAACTGTATTTAAAGGCCTACATTGTGTATCCGGAAGAGGCAGAGCGCCACGACGTGAGCACACCACTTCGCCCCAGCTCCGCAGGTACAGCTGCATGACGTGATCCTGCATCGATCAAACATCACCGCCACGTTGTACGCACCTTTGGGTGGCACCATCTGTGGGGGTACCACAGTGGCGCTCAGATGGAAACCTGTTAAAATTCAAAAGTCCAAAGTTACTCTTCTGGTGCTTCGGAGATAGATTCAGCTAGCACAGAAATTTAGGTGTGTGCCATTTAAACAGCGAAACAACGTGTCTAGCAACAACATCCATATAGGGATGGACACGGATCTAGAATCTCCAGCACTTGTTTCTTCCCAATCAGCTACAGCAGAATATTAGCAGAGAGGCATAACATGTTATGAGGTTCAAAAATACCAGCTTTTAATACATTAATTTATTTATAGATTTATTTATATTAATATTTAACAAAGAAAAGACCTGGATAAAGCCATCACTGAAAAGTGTGGGGTTTTTGATCACAGGGTCAAAGCTAGACTATACATATTTTAGGCATCATTTCTATGTTAATTAACTCTGGCAACAGTGCAGAACAGGCTAGGTGACTTCTTCAGAGTTACTTCCAAGTCAGTCAACTTTCACAATTTTACAGTGAACTAAAGAAGGCAGCACTTACACCTGAACACTTACTTTCACTTTGTGGCTTCAGAAGCTACCCATTTCTCATAAATCATGTACCTCCTTGCAATATTGCGAATATCCCATTTTTTTTAAACCATGTACTCGGAAAACAAAAAACCCCTCTTGCTTAAGACTAAAATCAATGGAAAAGGGAAATTTCAGCAGTAACACTTGAATGAATCCAGCCCCATTAATCTGTGATCAAACAAATAAATTATGAATCTGATCTCAGGCAGGATGACAAAGAACTTTAATGAGGCTTGGCTTTGTGTAAACTCACGTACAATGCATACCAGTTGTAGTCATAATGCAGCTTCCTCTACAGATAATGGTTATACAGAGGCACACATATTACGAGCAGGAAAAGGCCATCAGGAGCATGAATCTTCTACTTGTCTTGAAGGTCCCTATCACCAGTTAATCATCCTCTACAACAATAAGCATCAGCCTCGGAGCCTTTTTGCTAGTCTCAAATTCAGTTTTAATGAAGCACAGAAAGCACCAAGGGTATCAAAGCCATAACCAAAATTCAGTCCAACAATCTACCTTAAGTGAAAAAATATGGCTTGGGGCAGATGATTGAAATAGTTTCTCCATCATCAGCAAGGGAATTACATTATAAATCCACACTACTAAGTTTTTATTATGGTATTGTGAGATTATAACAATGATGGTGTTCAGGAGTGCACGTGACCTACTAAATCCCATTTAAAACAATGTGCACTATTTCTTCCTCAAAATATAATCCCTGTGCCAACACAAACTTGCTCTTACCTTGCTTAACCTTTCTATTTCTCCTGTTCACCAGAACTCAAATCCTCTTCCTCATGTGGGTGATTATTTTGATTAGTACGCATAATGCCACCCAAATTCTTCAGCCATTTTAGCAATTGGAACAGAATCAAAACAAAAGAAGACATGCACCGCAAAATTACTGCATTACTTATTACTAGCTACAGCTCTAATTTATGTTCCACGCTTGGATAATACAACCCAAACAGTTCAGCTAGTCCTTCTGTAATACTAGAAGCATCTCAGACTAATGCCAAAATGGCCTAATTTTCACAAAAGCAAATTAAGCATTTCACAGATTGGAACTGCAGAAATTCTGTTTCACTGAGAACAAGAAGTATTCGAAAGGTGTTAGAGAAGCATGGGTCACAGCTATACACTCGTATCAAGCTCCTACCATTAAATTTTTATTTGTATATGAAGACAGTTAACTGATTAAATGCAAAGAGTGAAGAACAGTTATAAAAAGAGACAAAGAAAATGTAAGGGCTTCAGCATGACATATCACAAGCTTCAACTCAAATTGTAGCTTGATGAACACGTCTGCCACTGACAGTGCTAATTCAAGCAGCTCTGTCCAATTCTTTTGCACCACCAGTCTTGCTGTACTGAACAACTGTTTGTGGGATGGCACAGGAAACCATACCAGGAAAAAATTCTGGATTAAATTAATGGTTACTTTTACCAGGAAAAATACCACAGTCCAGTTCACTGTGCAGCTTACAAAAGTCTGAGCCTGAAGGGACTGTAAAGGTGACTATGAGGGGGACCTTTCTGGAGTGCTTAGCCCAACACTACTGTTTAAAGAAATGGTCATCAAATTGTACTTGTTTACAGTCAAAGTGCAACTATTGTCTTCTGCAGACCACAGCTCTTACCCTCCTGCTTAAATGTGAAGACAAGAATCACATCTACTGCACACCTGAGTGACCTGGCCACCTCATGGAGACTGCAAGAATGTTCTTCCCTCCCACCCACCCCCTGCTCCCACTACCTGATAACGGCTTATCTACTCCATGCATAACAATACATTACAAAAACATGTCTGCATGTACCAGCAGCATTCATTCTGCAACTGCATGCAGCCCACCAGAAAAAAAACTAAGATCTATACCCTATTCTTGGCAAGCTCCACCCCCAGGAGACCTCAAAAATGAGCTGCAGGCCAGAGGAATTGCTCTGCCAGGAGTCTCACTCCCCTGGCTACCATTCTTCTTAAATGCACTGTGGGCACAGAGCAAGCTTAGTGCTTCTATGAAAGCACTTAGGCTTTCTACGCAGAAAGTGCATCTTAAACTTCTTAGGAGCACCAGATTTACTACTCATGCACAGAGCAAATATGTCAAGCAGCCAGCACCAATGCTTCAGAGGATGTGTTGGGTACATGAATGTACAACATACTCGCTATGCACAGAGAACAGGAATGATCTTCTGCACCCATGAAGCAGGTTTTGTCATGTAGCGAAGAAGGGGTAGCAGCACACTGTCGTCTCTGATACTCAATTAAGACACATGGTTTGATCAAATGTAAAAGCTGGAAATAATCAACTGCTGCCTAGACTAGGTCTACAAAATAGAGATGGCTTCTTTTTCAGTCCATAACCTATCCTTCTCACTGCTCTACCCCTGAAACTTAATCTTTCAGGAAAAGTATCCAAAAGAAATGTATGCTTCCTGCTGGTTAAAATCCAGTTTTCAGAATTTTAGGATAGCTACGTCAATGTCTTTTGCATTTAATATTTATTTTACCATGAAACTCATTCATTGTGAAATTTCAGGTCTGTTTATTCATTTTTCTGAGGTCCTATTAGCCCTCATGATTTCAGGTGGAAACGCACAAATTTGAAATACCCCAAGCTACTCAGTAAGCAACTGGAATGAAAAGATTTAAGTGACCTATGAGTTAGCAACACCCTGCTAAGAATACTTCTTGCAATACAGCTTCCAAGCTTTTTTCATTGATATTTGGTAGTTCTGACGCCCCTATAACAATGACAGCAACACACCTCTGCATAGAATTTAAGAACTTTTTCTCTGGCCTTCCCAGGACTAACAGAAATGGGAAAATGAGAGCTGAACAAAAGCTTTTAGACAGTAAAGAAGGCAATTTTGGACATTTGGTTGTTTTAAACCAAGATAGGAGAATCCCTAAAAAGTGGAGACTTAGAGACACTATTCAAGGAGATGCAAAGTTAGAATCCAAACTGAACCTGCTGCTGCCTTCCTCATTCGTTAAAAAGAAATTAAGACCATGATAGAAAAAAAGTCCCTGAAATCAGCAACTACAACACACCTATTTGAGAACAGCAATAACGTCTTCAGTGCAAGGAGGCGGGTATATGACTGCTACAAAGGGAATGTGCAGGAGAAGGTCTACAAAAGCCAATTCTTTGTGTATATACAGTAGAACACTGTAAAAAAGTGGGGTTTTGGAATGTAGTGAAGAGGTGCTATTGTTCAGAAATTATGGATATGGATTTGCATGTGGACAAGATGACTAAGATTACTCAATTACGTTTAAAAAAAAATAATAATCTTACACGGCAAAGGGAAATGGGAAAAAAAGAGCACAAAGCACATTTCAAGCTTTGTCCTATTGATTACAGTATCACAACACACTGCCCAGTCCCCCTCCAAATCAAATCCCCTCTCAAGGGCTGCTTCATTTCCTGCATTTCTTTTCCCATTTGTCAGTATATGAAACTCAAAACTGCAACCACACACCTTAAAATCATTTGGAGTAGACAACTGAAATTATATCCACCCCACCTGTACTGCCCAGCTTCTGGGCTGGTACTCATGAAAAAAAAAAAAACCACCAAAAAAAACCTTTAGATAAGGAGGGGTTTTCCTCCTCTACTAAGGAGGAAACAACGTTACTGTTTAAACAAAGTTGCTTCCTTCCCTTCTACACACATAATCCTTTGTCAAGAAACCCAGTTGCTGTATGTGTACTTCAGAAGTTCCTCCCCTGTATCATTCACCGCCTCCTCTTTTTCCCTACTCCTCTCCTTCTCCCCCAAGCACAGGTTTTGCACTAATATTCCTAGCCTTTGTTCATTTACATTGCTTAACACCTCCTCGCCTTTTTAATTTATTACTGAAACAAGTTTTGACCACAGTCTTAGCACTGTATATTAAATATTCTGCTCTTTTCCATTGTGAAAGTCCCAGGAATTACTGAATTTCAGTCAGTTGCATTTTAACTCATTTTGTCTCTCTTAAACATTTGCCTTCCTGAAGTTCAGCAGATGCCTTCGAGGCCTCTCTCAGCATTTCAGTCCTGACATCAGGGCTTATGAATGCACTCAAAAGTCAGTCTAATTCTATTTAGCTCCATTTCGTTGATGTTCCAAAATTACTATCTGGTCTCACTGACAACTCAATATACCTTATGTATGAGGAAGTACTTCACTTCCATTCCCAAGAATTCCTGCTATTGTTATTACAGTAGACAATGGACTAAGTAAAATCCTTTCAGATGCTTTACCCTATATTCAGATAACAGTTTATCAGACTCCTGCAATTTGCGTATCTCAATGACTATCTCCTTCTCTTTTCGTTCTCCCCAAACTTTTACAGTACGAGTCCCTTTTATTCCCTTTTTGAGGGTCCTTTACCTAAATTTATTCATTCCACTGATCAGAGTTAAGTATTACTGGTACTAGCAACTAAACAGGCCCATAGAAGTCTCTACCTCTCATCACAGGAAAATACAGGAACTTTCCTCCTTAACATTATACAGCTTTTTAGATTATCATTTTTCTTATTATAAACAGGCTCAGTTCCCACATGCCAATTAATATTCTAATTCTGAAGCTTACACTTGCAGAAAAAACAACACATCTGCATTGGATTGACATGGCCCACCTTGACATACTAGTGTCTTTATTTCACATAATGCCTTCCTGTCTAAGAGCTGTCACTGGAAAAGCCAACTAAATATTCTTCTTTACTTCAAAGGATTTAATGAAAACTCCAGAGTCCAATTCTTTGTTTAAGATAAGATTAGTTTCTATAACCATAAAACATAAAAAGAACAAGATAAGGGACGAGGAGCGATAAAACCAACTGTCCAGCAACAGGGATTTCCTTCTGCCAAAATACTACATGAGTAACTGTATTATTAATACAATTCTTTTGCTACAAGAAAATTAAACCTTGCAAACTTCCTCTCTGCCATACATGCACTTTAGGCAAGGCATTCATTTGATCAGACCACTAGAAAACCAAGTTCTCTTTATCAATGAGGAATTCAAGCATTATGGAGACAAAGGCATTCTACACAGTTTTTCCCAAAACACTGAGACAGATTAAGGATCTAATTTTCAGAACATTTCTGGCTTTTCACTCAGTTTCACAGCTGAGTTGATTGAGGCTGAAATAAACACAGTATTTAGCTCAAGACATTACAAAAAATGCATGTGGCAGGGAGTTTAGTCTAGGATGCCAGAAAAGCCCGTTTTGGGACACGGTCATACCACTGCTGTCCCATTGCAGATATGGGTTTGGGAATCTGAAATATCTAGAGATGTGGAGCTGCAATGTTCTTACCTATCTGGAGAGGGTCTTTGACAGCCCTCACCCGGAACAGCTGCTCCCCTCGCTGGAACTCATCTGCACTGCCATTTGCCAAACACGAGTACAATCTGCAAGAGATACAAGATAACATGTCAAGATCAGTCCATTTTTGAGAAACTTCACATTATCCTCTTGCATTCTTTGTTGATGTGGCTTTTGAAAAATCCTTACTGTCTTCATCTTTAAGATGAAGTCCAGCTCTTTTCTGCCATTTCTCCATTACAATTCAACCATAAAAATCGTTAGCCTCTTCCTAACTGGGTTTGTGTATAGCCACGGGCATTTCTAGGAATTTCAACATAAGGCTCTGAAATACAAATTCATTCATAGCCTAAAATTAAGCTTTTACGTACAGTATAATATCAATTCAAGGTCCAATGTCAGCATGCCACAGTAAAAACTCCTTGTACTTCTAGATGAGTTACCTCCATGCTCACGTGAGGTTTTTTTACATCTGTGCTCATCAGAATAATGAGCACATATAACCAGCTGGCCTGCTCTATTCCCCCACAGGTGATCTTACTAATTACATCAGCACTTCTGACATTACGTCTCCCATCTGATACCAGAATGTTAGATGAATGCATCTAAGAACTTTCAGGATGATCCTTTCTAAAAGAGCGTAATATCACTACTTTGCAACAAAATTCTGAACGCACAGTTACATGGGTAGGCCTCCTAAAGTATAAAAGCTTCAGCAAAAATACTTTGGTAAAAGATCTAAAAGCACAGAGTTTTTGACCATGTATTCACACAATTTATGTGGAAACATAAGAAATATAGTCATCTCTCTGACTGTATCCACTCTGACCACTGATGTACTCAGCAAATTCTGATTCTCCTACTTACACCAACAAAAGCCTTTCACAGCATACTGAGCTAGCTCTCCCCGGCAATTTCTTAGCCCAGTTAAAGCTCTCACTCAAGCAACAGATTCAAACTGGAAAGAATACTGCATAGGACTAACAGAAGAAAGACACTGAGGTGCTGGAGCGTGTCCAAAGAAGGGCAGCGAAGCTGATGAAGGGTCTAGAGCACAAGTCTGATGAGGAGCGGCTGAGGGAACTGGGACCGTTTAGCCTGGAGAAAAGGAGGCTCAGGGGAGACCTTACTGCACTCTACAACTACCTGAAAGGAGGCTGTAGTGAGGTGGGTGTCGGTCTCTTTTCCCAAGTGACAAGTGATGGGACGAGAGGATACAGCCTCAAATTGCACCAGGGGAGGTTTAGATTGGGTATTAGGAAAAATTTCTTCACCAAAAGGGTTGTCAAGCATTGGAAGAGGCTGCCCAGGGAAGTGGCTGAGTCACCATCCCTAGAGGTATTTAAAAGGTGTAGATGTGGCACTTAAGAGACATGGTTTAGTGGTAGACTTGGCAGTGTTAGGTTTACGGTTGACTCGATGATCTTAAGGGTCTTTTCCAACCTAATGATTCTATGATTCTATAAGGACAAAACTCTACAAACAAGTTACTGTCAGGCAAATTAAAGGGTGCATTTATTCTGCAATCATTTACACACAGAACCTGCACGTACACATGCTTTTCCTGGGACACATGGAGGGCAGCTCACCCCGAAATATAACCCCGTATCATAGTATATCCCACAGTAACCCATCCATGTATTACAAAATGCACGTGAGAACAGCAGAAGCAGCAAATATATGGGACATCAAACGGACAATGATTCTCCTCTAGTGAACAGAACTTTTCCTTAAGCGTCAATGAAACAGAAATAGTATTCATTACCTGATATCTTCCTCATTTTCTGGGAAACTCCAGAAGGCGATCCGAAGCTGCAGTTGCTCAGGCACTGGAGGATAAACTTTCTCCACCACCTCGAATGGAATGTGAAATGCAACCTGTTTTGCAGACAGTTCCACCAATGGGATCACCAGCCCATCTAGCAAGACAAGAAACAAAATGCAATTAGCCATTCAGAGAACAAAACTCACGAGAGGCTAAAGAGATCGGAGCAGGGAGCTCTTCCACTTCCTCTCTTATCTCACTAAGTTCAAGGACCAATTTTGATAGACAGTAAAAGGCAGCACAGAATTGCCTGCCAACTTTATGTTTGTTTTCAGCCCCCTAGGGCATGGGTACACATTCCTAAAAAAACCAGTCCTTTGTCAGGAGAGCTACATTAGCTTAGCAGACATCAGTGACTCCTGATCAGTGTCTCCTGACAAAACTGAAACCATTTAGCAAGGCATAAGGTAACCAAGTATTTTTCACACATTTCTGTTAGAATATGGCAGCAACATCTTGTGAATGCCAGATGATTACACAGAGGAGAACTGTTACAGTGTATATGCACAAGACAGCAATGGAAAGGTTATCCAGGAACCTTAGTATTGACTTTTTTGGTAACATTCAGTATTCAGCAATTTACAAGATTTTAATTTCAGTTAGTATTTGTTGTTTTATTCCCCTCACCACCACCTTTTGTATGATATCTGTCTTTATATTTCAAGTTCTTTACAGAAGCAACTGGGAATTCACATGTTTGCTGACTATACTTGAGCCCATGAGGATCTTAACTGAAGGCACCTGAGAGCTTTATACAAATTTAACCACCACCTTTCTACGAAACTAACTCCACTTTTTATGTTTTTAAGTGCAGATGAAGATTTCTTATCATCAGGCTATGGGAGCCTTACGTTTCTGCTTCACTCTGAGCTAGATTATACTCTATACAAAATGCCAGACTTGCCTTATCTGCAAGCACCTCACTGCTTTACTGAGATCACTTCCTGATCCATTACTAAAGCAGCCTTGGTTCCCGTCTTCCAAACCCTGTTGCCAAGAGCCTAATTAATTCAGTTTCAGATATTCAGTGTTATGACTGTTCACCTCCCTAACCAGCTTCTAAAACACCACTAGAAGCCAGACGTAAACCAATCTGGCCCTCAGCTTTCCCTCCCCACCGGCCTCCAGGCAACATATCAAAGGAAAACTTAAGCCCTGATGGCAGCAAGGGCTTTCTCACCCTCTGCCTAGAGACGCCCTCCGGTCGGAACAGCTGGGAACCAGACAGAAGGGAGAGGGCTTTGAAAGTGCATGCACACAGCAAAGCAGCCAACATCTCCCCCAGTACTGAGCAGACCTGTCAAATGGAAGGATTGCATAAATATGGAAAGAAAATACAGTTTTCAAACATCCACATTTATGATTTTTTGATTGCAGTGAAATTAGATTCATTTGGCAGCATTCACTTCTCCCAGATAGAGTCAGTCCTTTGCTGTCAGGATTGTTTCTCCATCACTAGTGAGTTTTACTCTATGTTATAGACGGAGCCTCTGTTTTAGTGTGTTATAATCCCATCCACAAATGTGAGAGCAGCAGATTGTAAAACGAACAATGATGGAAAAGTGGAGCGTCCCTTTCTCTACAGCTAGCAGATAAACAAGATTTTGGCAGAAAAGTCATCTCATTTCCACTTTTGACAACCAGAACAGGTGTAAAGCTTTCATCAAGTCACTAAAAAAAAATTACTATTTTTAATTAGTCACTAAAAAAAAATTACTATTCTTAATTAGTACAACATAGTCAACTTAAATATCATTGCAATTACTCTGAGCAATGAAAGGAGGAATATTTCTTGTGGTTTTAGCTGCACTTTTTGTATAGAGGCACTTTATCCAAGTCTTTCATTACACAACACTAGAAAAGAGTTAACACCTAAACAACCTCTACAAGGTACAAGACTCAAAAAAGTCTTCAGTACCGGGGTGAAACACCTGCACATTCTTCAAAGAGCTGCAAGCCTGCAGCCTGGATGGTGTTCCTTTTTACAAGGATTTGGTGCTGGGTATGAAGGTTAGATTAGAAATGCTAAAGACAGACTGAGTTGACAAAAAAGCAGCAAAGACAAATGCATTCTGCTTATTATTGTATCAGTACACCTTACTCTCAAAAATACTTTACTGTTGCCATGGACTAGGACACACAAACGGTTACTAGGTCTCAATGGTACTAGTAGAGTCGTACTGGTACTAGGCGCAGTAGTACAATCATTGCGTTTACCCTCCAACCTCTCCGTTACATAGTATGGCTGTTCTCTTTCAAGCTAAACTAAACTAGCTCAAGAAAAATACTTTGACAAGTGTTACTGAAATTACCTCTCCTGAGAAAACATTTCTTCCAGGTGGGAAGACACCATAAGCCCTCCTCATCTGCTCCAGTGCAAGTCCAGTGCAAGTCAGCCAGCTTGATTTTAACAGTTTTACACAGTGAACTAAGGTAACAGGCTGACTTTGCATTGAACTCATTAACTGATTCATCAGCTGTACTGTGTTAGTAGTAATCACCAGAAGACAGGTGGCCAATTATCTGGCATATCTATCATAACCCACAGTCAGACATTCATAGCGCATAGCTCAGACATTCCCAGAATAAGGTGAAAGCAGTAAAACCTGGTAGGGAAAAAATAATCTAAAAAGCAATCTCATCTGTATGACCATGCATCTTTCTAAAAAGCTGAATTTTCTACAAGTAAAAAGAGATGTGGAAAAGAAATAGTAGAAAATAACTGAAAAGTAGAAAATAATTTTTCAATGATACTTTAAGGGCAGGTGAATTCACAGTAGCTAACTTAGCACACAATGTAAATACTAAAACTAAGAAGTTAAACTGCCCTAAGTTTCAAGGGGGTAGTCCCCTATGTAGCCAAGGTGAGACACTTATCTAGAATATGACTCAGAGCATCAGAGGGTCTTTTCCCGTTAGGCCTCCTGTAGAGTCAGCTGGACAGTGAGTTAGGTGCTTAAATTAGACTCTGAATACTCTCCTTTGAGTCCTAAACAAAGACAGATCCATTCAAAAAAGTTTATCTCTATCTGGACACAAATCCAGGGTTGGTGGATTCATACCTAATTGTATCAAAAGGTATTACTGATAAAACAGACAAAAGGTGCTCTCAGGTACTATAATAAATATATTTTGAGCAAGAAAAAAAAGGAAAAGTCTGCTAACAAAGAAAAGGATAAAGCATCACAGCTTCTGCTCAGAAAGCAAAGATATGGACAGCAAGGAAGATTGCAAATTTAATATAAAAAATGATACAGTAGTGAAATCAAAGATGTAATACAAAATTGCCAAATCTGTAAGATAAATCTATCCAAGGAAGAAGATCATTTTAAATTGTGGAGCAAAACTAGCAAGAATCACTGCTTCCTCTTGGGAAGCAGACATGATGACCCAAGCAGAACAAAGGAAGCATTTCAAGTCTTGGAAGAATAAAGTCACAGGCAAAGCATAAGCAGCCTCAAACAATTCTCACTTACAGGTTAAATGACTAGCAAAACCCAGGTCAGGAAGGGATTTTGAGAGGCCATCTAATCTATACCTCCTACCTAAGAGGCAGGATCAAGCATATCTAAACCATTCTGAATAAAACATGTCTCATCTATTTATTGCCACGTGGAACACACAGCTTTGATGAGTACTATTCTACCCTTTTTGCTAGTGTTTTATGTGAATTACAGGTTTGATTTTTATAGCCATTTTATAACAGCTACAACTTTAGCATAGACATAATTATTCCTGCTGGAACAACAACAACAAAAGAAACCTCAACCCCAAACCAGCCAACACAAGCTATACACACAAACTTGCATTTTCACCAGTGGAAACAACTTCTGTGCCAGCACAGCTTACTGACATAGGAATGCATGTGTAGCTACATTGCTTAACCTTTCCTAATATAGGGTAGGCTGTAACAAGTTGCAGCCAACAATTATTCATAAAAACAGATCATGTTCAAACTGAGCTGTTATTCCTTCAGTACAATAATTGAGTTTCCATGATAGACAAATAGAGAAGAAACTGCTTGAATAATCAACAAAATAGGGGCCATGAGAACACCAAAGAGTTATTAAATGGAACAGAAAGAGAAACCAACCAGGCCAAGCACTGAATGTATTTGTTATCTAATTACATCATTTCCATTGGGTTACTTGCATTTGACACACGTCTCTAAGATTAAACTATACATACAAGTGAATAAATACAAATGCAGGTGAACAAATCTCACAGCAAGAGACAAGACAGTGCAAAGACAGGACACATTGCTTTTGCTATATATACCTTAAGAAAAATGGCACGTTAGGCTGCATTATCTTTTTAGAGATGAGTCTAGAGCTTTGATTTTATAGCTATCCCTGGTCCCCACCTCACATTTCCCCTCACCTTTCCCGCTGGCTTCAGTCCAAAATGTAACAGCACGGAACAAAGTAATACAACTATACACCAAACAAGGAGATGAAGAAAATTAAGTGAAGCACTTCTGATATCAAAAGCTAAAGTGAGAACAACAGTAAAACTAACAGGAAATAAGCAGAGTGCAATCTTGACCAGTGAAGGAGGTATGTCGGGGGTGTTATAAAACCTGTTTTACAAACCTCATTTAATGGTAAATATTACATTGCTTTTTACAGGATTTGCCATGTAGAAAGATAAATCTGTTACTGCAGAATGCACTGTAAGCATTTCTACTTGTTTTATTTTAGTTAAGTGCCTATCAGTAAAATGCCCCTTGACTTAAGTCAGTGATATATTCTGTCTCTGATACCCCTTAAAACCAAAAAGTGCTGAGAACTCTCAAATATGGGCAAGCAGAGCAAGCATTACATTTAACCGTAACATACCTAAATCAAAACTCTTCAAAAATATTTGGTTTCTTACTGTTTTCTATTTTTTTCCTTCCAAAATTCTGCTGTTGGTTTTACTTTATTCTCTTGTTCTTTCTTCCTTTCTAAGAATTTATTCTCAGAGTTGATGTCTTTAAGAAGTACATGCCAGAGGCAATATATTCCTTCAGGTCTCAAACTCTGCAACAAACACCAGAAAACTTCACCTTTGCCTTGAACTCTGCAATACTCAAAGATGAATGCTCTGAATGTA